ATCATTATCAACATGTGATATACTATTATTACTGTCATCATGTGATATACTATTATTATTATCATCATCATTATCATTACTTTTATCATTATCATCAATATTATTAATACTATTATAATCACTGTCATCATCCTCATCATTAACATTATTATTCCTATTACCATTTTCTCACCTACTACAACTACTACTACTATCTCAATCATAGCAGCATCAGCGATAGGATTATCAATATTATTATCAGCATTATCATTTTTTTTATTATATTATTATTATCATATTATCATTCTGCTTATGGTCATCATCATCATTATTAATATCATTATCATCTTCGTTACCAATGTCATTATGATCATGATTATTACATTGTTACACAAGCGGTATCCTATATCATCATTCCTGTCAATTTCTCTTATTTAACTCTGGATTTAACGTTGGATTTTTTCTTTCTTTCTTTCTTTCTTTCTTTCTTGAGTATATGATCCTTCATATACAGAAGATTTTATAAACTGCATAAAATAGGTATTGAAGACCTTGAAAACTTTTAACTGTAAATAAACCGTATTGTAGTTAAAAACTGGTGTTTATGCTGCTGGTATCGTTTATAATTTTCCAATCACACACCAGTCAACTACACGTTATATACCGCCTTGAAATTTTCACAATTCTACAAGATGTGTGTTTATATAGGATGGTTGAATGCTCTATAACAGTCGATGTGCGTAAGTTTAGCATAAAGTTGATCTTAAATTTGCACTAGCGTCTAAAGGCACATTCCAACCAGGAATACTTGACATCAATAACAAAAGTCGATCTCAGCAGTAAAAAGGAAATAAGTGGTAAGTAATGGTTGGAAGAAATATAAATTCGCTAGATATCTATGGCCAAGTTTGAGGTAAGTAAACGCTCTACATAAAACTGTTTTTTATTAGATAAAGTGGTATAAATGTAGCCCATAAAACTACTAGCATACATGCTTTAAAAAAAAATAAATAGACATCAAAATTCCAAATACAAATTGGCTTACACTAAACATCTGAAACTACACATGCAGTAGTAGAAGTCTTTACTCCACAATACTTTCACTTATGTTTTCTTCACACTACCTATATTTATCACAATTTCATTATGATCCCATATTCACGCGACAAACCATTTGAAAGGAGAAAGTAAAAAGAAAAAAGAAGAAAAGTACATATGAGTTGTCCCATACAAATAATAATTAATTGTTTTCATATCTTAATTATTAGTATACAAAATCAAATGCAAAGCCTGAGGGTTAACATAATGTTATTGCGAAGCGAGTTTTTTTTTTCTTTCAAACAAGGAACAACGAAATATTTCTCTGTCTTTTGAATGAAAAGTTATTATTAAAATCCAGTGATCTTTCTCATTAAATTTGTTTGGTGAATCAAGTTAACTTTACAGTTTTAATGATGCATGGAGATAGTGGAATGACTTCTCGAAAAAGAATTCAACTATCTCTGTATCAACATACAAAGTATTGTACGCGAGAGTGTTGATGAAACGCCCACGGAAGCTGTGCAAAAAATTCGCCCATATAAAAGGGACTTTGTCCAGTGATGCAGTCCTGTTAACATTCACTACTTGCACGTGGTCGCCGCCCTCTGTCACGTTTTTCGTCAAGTCTCCCATGTTGGTGATGCAGTACTCGAACTCGAAAGTGGGGTCGAAATCGGGAGGCTTCGGAACAAGGGTTTTTATTCTCTCCATCTGGAGTACTGTCGCACTTTTGAGTTTCCTCTGGGTTTCCTCGTTTATGGACTTTGCGTAATTCCAAAAGTCTGCGTTGAAGTTTCGCGGCGTTTCGAAGACCGTAGGCAACAGCGGCAAGATATGGCAGCCAAGGTACGTAGAAGGATCGGATTTCCAGTAGCGGCGGCCGTTGACAACGTGATCACAGCGAATGCTGTACGTGTCCTGCTCGAGGCCGCCTTTCGCCAGGAGATCCACCATCGCGAAGTTACCAATGGCTGTAAAAGCAGAATTGACTGTGATGCCCTCCGCACGACACCGCTTGAAAAGGGCAGCACTATCCTTCTCATCTAAATCCCGCGTCACGTATAATGTCCTTGCCTTTTCCTCTCCCACTCCCTTAAAGAGCGTCTTGACAAGTGAGTGCCGTTCTAGGAGACCCTGATATTCTCTTGTCAATTTACTCTGTAGTTCGGGATCGCCGTTCACGAGAGCCTCTTGTTCGCGCAGAGCCCTTTGCGTCTTTTCATCCGGTATGTAAGTCCCGAGCTGTTCCTCGTCATTGATTTCTTTCCCAGCCAAAACATCGTCGAGGAGCTGGACGATGAAGCCGCACATGGTGGAGTTCGAAGTGCCGTCAGTGATTGCGTGATTAATGCCCAGGTACATCGAATACATGTGAGGATATCCCTGAACACCTTCCCTGAACACGCCATCTGGGGACGAGTCTGGTTCTGGTCTGAGCTTCACGCACCACAGAGGCCCTGTCTGCTTATTGAAGTCGTAATTTTGTAGTCTGGAGTGTATGTCTTCGTCCGATCTGTCTTCTGGAAGTAACTGAAGCCAACGTTGATCAGTTTTCATAATTCATAATGCCAGATCTATATTAAACACCATTAATCGACCCTAGATATCCGTGAAAGGAGTTACTTTCAATAGTAATGCGGTTGCTACCAGTCACTGTAACTAGATGCTGATAAAAATAACGTTTTTTTGTGACTGGTCGAATCAAAAACTCCTGCTTTACAAAAATTCTCCTGTATTATGTTTCATTTATTTTAAACATCTCCAAATGAAGAAATATGTCATCTTTATCATTATCAGGAAAAAAACAGCCTCATCTATATCCAGACACACATACCCTCAAGTGTGCGTTTAGGTGTACTATACATATGTTTATGAATGCATGTATATTCTTGTTTATAATCATCCGCATAAACGTGTATGTATACAAACACCAACAAACACACACAGAAAGAGAGAGAAAGAGAGAGAGAGAGAGAGAGAGAGAGAGAGAAAGAGAGAGAGAGAGAGAGAGGGAGAGGGAGAGAGAGAGAGAGAGAGAGAGAGAGAGAGAGAGAGAGAGAGAGAGAGAGAGAGAGAGAGAGAGAGAGAGAGAGGAGAGAGAGAGAGAGAGAGAGAGAGGAGAGAGAGAGAGAGAGAGAGAGAGAGAGAGAGAGAGAGAGAGAGAGAGAGAGAGAGAGAGAGAGAGAGAGAGAGAGAGAGAAAGAGAGAGAGAGAGAGAGAGAGAGAGTTAAAGATATACACACTTGTAAACGACACTTACTTCGAAGTCGACTTTCTCCTGAGGCATCTCCCGGAGCCACATCTCTCCGTCTCGCTCAGCGAAACATGCCCTCACGTTGGGCACTTTCCTAAGAGATGAAGAGTTGTAATACGTTATTCTGATGTAACAATATAATGTTCTTACGTTCTATATTAATATCATTAGGTTATAATATACTATTCCTAATGTTACAGTTTATTTTATTACTTTATGATATATCATCATTACGTTACAATATACTATTCTTACGTTGCAATATATTATTCTTACGTTAGAATACATTGTACTTATATTACAATGTATCGTTACAATATATTTTTACTTTACAATATACCACTCTTATATCGTAGATAGTAAACCCCCAAATCTAGGTTAATCACGATGCCTTTTTTGATTCATGAACAATGGGTCATCATTTTCTGAACTCATTTGTTAATATTTTCTTCATGACCAGAATTAGCTAGTGTTCGAAGATACTCGTTAAACCGTTCATCACAAATATACCTAATTGTGAGCAGTTGTGAACAGTTAGGAAAACGGTTAAGGCATTCACCATGCATCGTAGTACATTGGATTAATTCCTAAAAGGTTATTAACAGAGGTGAGAGAAGTTGCGTTGTGGCGAAATCATAATACTAATAATAATACTAATAATAATAACAGTAAAACCAATTATCTCTCTAATCAAACTACCCTATACTTCTCACTTCCAAATGATCCCAGACCACTATCTCCCAAGAACACAAACACACGAAATGCCTTTTTTAAGAGCTAACTATACCTATAGAAATGAGAGAGAGCGCAACGGAACTGCTCCTCCAGCAAGGGCTTCCGCGTGACTAAGGTGAGCTCGTAACAGGTGCCGAAAGGTTCGTAAAAGGACTCAATCGCAGTCTTCTTCCACAGCCACTTAATCTTCGTCGCCATCTTGGATTCGCTGGGAATAAAGGGAGAAAATTAGAATCTTCGGGATATTAAGAAGAATGGTGATCGGGATAAAAAGGATGGTGATAGGAATGAAATTTACGATGATAATAATTGTGATAATAATAATAGTGATAATGATAAAAACATTAACACTGACAAGAAATACTATAATGACGGTAATAATGGCGATGGTTATAATGGTAATAGTAATGATACTACTACTATAATAATGATACTACTACTAACAATAATAATAATAATATCAATAATAATGATAATAATAATAATAATAATAATAATAACAATAATAATAATAATAATAATGGTAATAATGATAATAATAATAATAATTGTGGAACGTAGGGTGACTGGGTTGGAAAGTTTCGGAATTCAGAGAAACATCCTTTTGTTTGTCCAAATGTTTATAAGCTGATTACTGAAATTACAAATACATAACATATAAGAAAACTTACAAATTAATTCATTACAATTACATCAAAGAATAAACAAAGAATTACATAAAAATATTATGCATAATTAACAAATACATAACAATTAATATAGCATTTTATTATTACAACAATATCAAATCACAGGATAATTATTTCGACTCACTGAAAATTATGGTTTCCGAACCCTCCTACTGGTTCCTCGTTTCGCGAGTCTTATACCCACTAATTGGCCAACGAACCTGAACAATGAGAAGCCTTATAGTTCTACAGCAAAACGTAACATTCGGCAAAATGAGTCTTATATTCATTTATAAACAGCGAGTTCCGAACGTCTTCCTTCATGGGACCTCTCTCCGCGTCTGACCTCATTCTCGTCTCGTGGCCACGTCTCCCCCTCATCGTGACGTGGCCTTGTCTCCCCTCGGGTGAATACGAGTTTAAAATATTTTCCTTGACATGCTATTGTGACTAAAATGACATTAAATGAATGTATAATCAATTTAACATCATTGTCTATCTTTGTTTGGTGAATTACAGTTACGGATACTGAGAAAAGTAAATAGAAAATGTGTAGTGATTTTAGTTGTGTTCCATAAAAAACTTTTAGAATATAAGATAGCAATCATTACATTTCATTAATGGAAATACTTCATTTATTGCGCATTGTACTTTGTTGTGGTAATCAAACACAAGTTGATTTGCTTAAATAAAAATGCGCTCGGAGTCCTTTCAGTGACCATAAACTGTTACAGAAATGTCATGATTGCAAGGGATAACTATAGTAGTTTTCGTAAACTCTCTGGAGCTTTATATAACATATATCTGCTCATTACAATAATAATAATAGTAAAAATAGTAATAATAATAATGGTATTGATAATGACAATAATAATAATAATAATAATAATAATAATAATAATAATAATAATAATAATAATAATAATAATAATAATAGCAATAACAATAATAATAATAATAATAACAATAATAATAATAATAACAATAATATTAATAATATTAATAGTTATTATTGTTATTATTATCATTATTATTATTATTATCATTATCATTATCATTATCATTATCATTATCATTATCATTATCATTATCATTATCATTATCATTATCATTATCATTATCATTATCATTATTATTATCATTATTATTATTGTTATTACCATTATAATAACAATAATAACAATGATAATAATAATCATTATTATAATATCAATTATAATAAACATAATAACAATAATGATAATAATAATAATAATAATAATAATAATAATAATAATAATAATAATAATAATGATAATACAGTTTGTATTTACTGATACAAACTGTTATTGTAAAAATAAAGTCAGGTCAAATGTTTTGTAAAATTGCGTTGTGATATGTCGAACCTCTTTTAAGTTGAAGGTTTTATATACTGGCCTTTTTTGCTAATATTGGGTAAGCGAGCCTTTGTGTTTCCGTTTTTTTTTTTTCTTTAGATGCGCCCCTTGTGTTACAGACTTTAGATTATGTCGAGTTCAATATCTAGTACGTCTCGTGACACCAGAGAATACACTGTGTCGACCTGTGTGCGTCGTTCACTCGTTGTGTTGTCAAGGTACAATAATATTGATAACAATAGGAGGATCCAATATGGTCACTCGTACTTAACAACGACCAATGAAAATAAAGAATGCAATGGTGATAATAATCATTACCATCATCAACTGCAGTTAAATTGCTATTTTGAGGCTTTCCCCTTAGACTGTGAAAACACCTGAAAATATCTTTAAAATTCTACATTTCCAAAGAGCGTAATTACTGACGGCTGTTCTGGCATAAGAGGAATGAGGGAAGGCGTCATCCCTCAATACGATACAATACGACATTCTTCACACAGCGTCTACTGACCAAACTCATATTGAAATGATGTGGAAGAGTGCTTATATTATACTATGATAAAATATTGTAATCTACGACTCGCATCAAGGCCATTCACAAATTGTTTATAGTCGAATGATTTATGTTGATTACAGTATAGGTATATTATTTACACGATTCAAGAATAGTTTTGATGTACTCTGTCCATGACTCATTAAATTCTTTCATATTTCACAAAGAACATTAATATAATCCAACTCCTGATTCACGAAAATCTTAGATATATTTTACGCATTCACAAAGAAATTAGAAACGGTTTAAGCACAATTCACAAAGAAATTATATGTAGTTTACGGTCGATAATTTCATACAATTCATAACCGATTCACAAATTTATGTAATAGATTTAACACACTAGTAATTCTTATACCCGTTATAAGCGTGTAATAAACATCTTAAATTGTTTTACTTAACTACGGTACCCTGCCAGGTTTATTTAGCTCTGCAGTATTTGTTATATATTTGTCGTATTCTCACAAGCATTCATTAATTGATAAGAAATACGAAAAAATGTATATCTGACATTACGAACTTTAGTAAACCAAACACCACACACCCTTACAGAATAACACATAATATCCTCACAACTAGTAGATAAAGAACAAAATTCCTACTATGAGCCTTCCACATTCACTGCCGAACCTACGTTTAATCGCAAGCCACACCACCTACTGGCCACGATGTCTCCACGCTGTCACCACGACCGCCGTAGAATGAGTGGCGTTGGCCTTAAACTATACCACGAAGTCACCTATGTTATTGATACCTAATTAGAGGTGTCTAAATAACTACGACCGATTTTGATTATAGGTTTTTAAAGATGGTGATTGCGACTAGCAATGTGGATGACGGTGGTGGTCATGATGATAGTGGTATCAAAGCTTGTGATGGAAATAATATGAACAA